AGCAGAGAGCCCTATGCAGGAATCAATCCCAGAATCCTGGGATCATGACCTGGGCTGAAGGCAGAGGCTTAACTCATTGAGCGACCCAGGAGCCCAGGAAGATTTTTTTAAATCTTAAATGTGTATGTACTTCACAGCTTCAAATTAAATAAAACCTGACAGACTACCAGGAGAGATAAACAAATCCACAATCAAAGTTGGAGTTTTTAACAATTTCTCCTAGTAACTGATAGAACAAGTGAGCAAGCAAACAAAAAAAAACAAAAGAAACGCAATAATAGAAAGTTTAAATAATCTAGTTCCCTCCTGGGTATATTCCAAAGAAATGAGACCTTCTGTGCTCCCAAAGGCATATTCAAGAATATTCACAGCAGCTTTAATTAGAATAGTCCCCAAACTGAAAAAACCCATATGGTTCTCAGCAACAGAATGGCTAAATGACTTGTGTTATGTTAATAGAATATTACATAACAAGGAGAAGGCAATACGGTTCAGGTTCATTTATCAATCACAAAGGTGTGATGGTGAAAGAGAAATCAGTTACAGAGTGCATATTCTATGATTCTGGGTACATGGAGTTCAAAAATAGATAAAAATGATATATGATGAAACAAGTCTGAATGGCATTTAACCCTTAGGGGGTTAGAAGCAGAGCAGAAGAGTCTCTTGGGATGGTGGAATGTTCCATATCTCTATCTGGTGATACAGTGATTATATATGGATGTAGATTTGTGTAATAATTCATGAGATTTATCTGTACACTATACTGTATATAAGCTGTGTCTCAATAAATTAAAAAAAGGAAAAGGCATTACTTGGAAGTTTTACACAAGTTAACTATTTCATATCTTCCCAAATGTCTAGGATTTTATTTTCTTATTATAATTACATAATGAAAAAGAAATTTTTTTCCACCAAGCCCCATGCATACACCCTCAAATCCCTCTAGTTAACACTTCAGTGCAATAAAAATGTTTCATTTCCTCTACGTGACTTGATATTGAAAGGCTTGAAACCCCTGCTCTGGGTAATAAGAAGCCAGTTAGGTTGCAAGAGGACCAGTGACAGAGTGTACTGGGGATCGGACTGGGGAAGCAGTAAGCCGAGGGAGTGTGATGGTCAATTTCATGTGTCGGCTTGATTGGGTCACAGGACGCCCAGCCGCATAAATATTATGTCCATGCTCGTTGGTCTGTCAGGCGTGTTTCAGAAGTGATTTGCATTAGAATCAATGGACTTGGTAAAAACAGATGGCCCTCACCAAGAGAGGGTGGGCATCACCCAACTCATTAGGGGTCCAAACAGGCAGAGAAGTTTAAATTTGTTCCCTCTGCCTGACTGAATGAGCTGATCAGTCTTCTGCCACCGCCTGCTCTGGAGGGATGTTTAGGAAAGAGCCTTGTGAAAGCTGCTATTGAACCATCTGTAATGAAGGAATGAAGGATATGGGCCTCAGCATCTCTCAGGGATCCCTAGGTAAAGACCCAGTGGGAAAACCTCTCTCAGGCGCAGCGATGGGAAAGACTGGGCTCTTTTGAGAAGCTGGTTTGGGTTTACCTTATGGTAAACTCTTTTCGCCCACTTTGTCCTGGGTGCTAAGGAACTTGCAGGCACAGCAACTAGAGAGGATTTCGAAATGCACCTGTGCGCTCTCCCTCCTCCTAGCGTAACCTTCTTTTCCTCCTGGTGCTTCCCTTTACCCCATTTCCTCAGCAACTTCATTTTGTCTTCTTATACCTATCTTTGGAGGCTGCCACAACTCCTCTTTTAGGATATAGGTAGGGTATAAATAAACAAGAAAGGAGTTGGACCAGGAAGAGGGAGGCAGTCCACCCAGATGGAGAAAGATGGATGAGCAAAGTGAAGGCTGACTAGCCATTACTCCAAAGATGACATACAACCGCCAGCAAGCATACAAAAGAAAGCCTGACGTCACAAATCATTTGGGAAATGCGAACCGGAACCACAACGAAACATTGCCTCATACCCATCATGATGGATTCTATCGAAAAAGGAAGGAAGGAAAGGAAGAAGGATGAAAGGAAGGATATAAGTGTTGGGGAAGATATGGAGAAAAAACCCTCATGCACTGTCGGTGGGAATTTAAACTGGTGCAGCCATTTTGGAAAACTGTACGGAGGTTCCTCAAAAAATTAAAAAATTGAACTACCATACTATCCAGCAATGCCACTTCTGGGTATATAGCAAAAGAAATGAAAAGTGGATTTCCAAGAGATGTGTACACCCATGTTTACAGCAGCATTATTCACAAGAGCCAAGAGGTGGAAGGAACCCAACGGTCCAGCGACAGATGAATGGACAAACAAATATGATATAGCCATGCCATGGAATATTATTTAGCCTGAAAAGGTGGTCACCTGCTATCACATCAATGAAGCCTGAGGACATTACCTAAGTGAAATAAATAAGCCAGTCACAAAAAGACAAATACTGTATGATTCCACTTATATGAGGGATCGAAAGGTATCAAATTCAGAGACAGAAAGTAGAATGGTGGCTACCAGGGAAGGTGAGGAGGGGCGTTGTTGATGAATGAGTACCGAGTTTCAGCTTTGAAAGATAGAAAGCTCTAGAGATTGGTTGCACAACAATGTGAATGTACCTAAGCTCCTGAACTGTACACTTCGAAATGGTTAAAATGGTCAATATTACATTGTGTGTCTTCTTTTAATTATGTGTAATTTTTTTTTTACAGTCAAGACAAGAGGGGTGGCGCCTGGGTGGCTCAGCTCAGGTCATGATCTCAGGGTCCTGGGATCCAGCCCCACATCGGGCTCCCTGCTCAGAGGAGAGTCTGCTTCTCCCTCTCCCTCTGCCTCTCTCCCTGTTCATGCTCTCTCTCTCTCTCTCTCAAATAAATAAATAAAATGTTTAAAAATAAATAAAAAATAAAGACAAGAAAGACTAGCTGAACTTGTCACAGATTTGCTCAGTGTGCTTCCTGATCTCAAGCTGAAAGAAGCTGGTGGTTCCATTTGGAATCTGCCCATCCATCGCACCCCAACCACTCAGGCAAGAGAGAGGAGGAATTTGCAAGGATCCTGGGACAGAAAGAGGAAATTCAATCCCCGGGCTTCCATGTCAATAAATCTTCAGGATTTGCATGATAATTCTTCTTAGGTTTCCTTTCTTCCTAAGTAAAATTGCCCAACAGTTGTAACTGCTCTCCTGGAATACATAATCAGAACCACGTTTACCAGACAGGATTTTTTTCCCCCTTTCTACTTCTCTCTCAACATCTACCCCCTTGTTCTTACTGCGCTCATGACAATGTACCTCCCACACACAACTAAAGAAGCACAAAGTTTAAAGGAAGCGTTTTCTATCAGGATCCCCGTTCTTTAACACGGAATCAAAGCGAGCTAATGGAGCGAGCAGAGGAGAATATAGGTTAGTGAGTCAATACCATTCGAGTTCATCTGAGGCCCAGCAGCGCTTCCAGATGATTCATGTTCCATTCACTTTGATTAATTCACGGGTGCTTTACGCTTCCTTCCAACCTACAGGCCCCTCTAGTGCCTGGTGCCCATGCCCTGGCTTTTTGCAGCTTTATATAAGGTTAAAACTTGCTAAATGTGGTTCAGATGTCTGGTCTGAAGATCATGTGATAAAAGCCAGAAATCAATAGACACAAACCAGAAAAGAACATATAAAATACACTGAGTTTTCTGTAAATTAGAAAAGCAAAAAACTGTTTGCTCCATCTGACACACATCGCAAGTACAGAGACCAAGTTCAATTCAGATGGAAATCACACTTGCTCTGTGACCTTGGAAGCATCTTTGACATTCATCTAATTTCTTCCACCCATAAGGTGATCAGTAATAATATAGACTTCTTTTTTCTTTTTTACAGATTTTTTTTAAAGATTTTATTTGTTTATTTGACAGAAAGAGATCACAAGTAGACAGAGAAGCAGGCAGAGAGAGAGAGAGGGAAGCAGGCTCCCTGCTGAGCAGAGAGCCCAATGCAGGACTCGATCCCAGGACCCTGAGATCATGACCTGAGCCGAAAGCAGTGGCTTAACCCACTGAGCCACCCAGGCGCCCTACAGATTTTTTTTTTTTTTTTTTTTAAGTAGGCTCTAACTTGGGGCTTAAACTCGTGACTGTAAGATCAAGATCTGAGCCTGGATTAAGAGTCAAACACTTAACTGGCTGAGCCACGCAGGTGCCACAATGATATGTACTTTTGACTCAAGACATCCAACTCTGTTTAAAAGAGAGAGGATGCCCCGAGGTTACCAGAAACATTGGAATTGCTGGACAGGCAGGCGGGTAAAAAGTCTTGTTAACCCAGGTTGACAATCATGGCTGTCAAGATCTTCCCATTTTGTGCCCATGGTGGAGACGGCTTCAGCGGCGCTGACATGGGACCACAAATCCCGTCCATATATGTAAGTGGTCTCCAGAGGCCTGTCAAGTGCTCTTTGATAGTGTGGTCATCTCAGAAGGAAGCAAGATCAAACCATTTGGTTTACATAGATTGCAGAGACTTGGAATGTAATATTAAATCACAGGTTTCGCAGGCATCCTATTACTTTTTTTTTTTTTCAGGTTTTAAAACCTTTTATTGGCAGAGTCTAAGTCATGTGTTCCAATAATTAAGACCATTGGAGCAACAACAACAACAAAACGGCACTGATTAAACTGCAGCTTACAGCCTGCAGGGCATCTTGGACCAGCTTGGTTTTCACTCTAGATTTCACTGTCATCCCACCCAGACTTCCTTCACCAACACGCAGGCTCTTTTCCTTCCCTGCCAGCCAGCCAGCAGGTGGGAGAGACAGGCATGGCTCCTTGTCGGTAGTTCCCCGCTCTTTGATGTGTAAAGGGGTGATACAGTCATTTAAACTTGATCCAACCTCTTTGCACAAAATTACAAAGTTAAAAACCACGAAAAGCAGTAAAACACGAAGGCACTGCCTGTGGAAGTTGCAGCGCATGTTGGCGGCGCCCACCTCATTCCGACTCACCTGCTCACTTCTCCTGTCTAGTGGTTTCTTTTGTGGAGAGTGGGTTCTTCTCTTGTGTTTCTGTCCCCTTCCACTGCCATCTGGCAGATTTCTCAATCTCAGCCATATCAGGAAGCTTGCAGAGGAAGCAGAACGAGTTGCCCAAGTCAGTGGAGTCCGGTCTGTGCAGTGGCCACCGAATGCTCACCCTACTACACTCTCAACAGTTACATAGCTATTTTTAAAAGATGTTATTTATTTGAGAGAAAGAGAGAGAGCACAAGCAGGGGGAGGTGCAGAGGGAGAGGCAGAAGCAGACTCCCTGCTGAGAAGGGCGCCCGAAGCATGGCTCCATCCCAGGACCCTGGGATCATGACCTGAGCCAAAGGCAGATGCTTAACCGACTGAGCCACCCAGGTGCCCCATAATAGTTACATTTCTTAGAAAGTTGCTTGGGACGCCAGGGTGGCTCAGTGGGTTAAGCGCCTACCTTCAGCCCAGGGTCCTGGAATGAGTCCTATAGCAGGATCCTCGCTCAGCGGAGAGCCTGCTTCTCCCTCTGCCTCTGCTGCTTCTCTCTCTCTCCCCACCACACCCAATAAAAAAACAAATCAATAAATCTTTAAAAAAAGAAAAGAAAGTTGTACATACACTTCAAAGGTTTTGTGGTTTAATTGTGGAGTATTGTCACCTCACTAGCATCTTACTCTCGATAAGTTTAATAGTGATAGTGATAGATACTATCAAAATACATAGTAATGTAGCATAGTAATGAAAACAGTATCTATTACTGTGGTATAGTAATACCTGATACGGTAGCTAAGAGAGGAACAGACTTATATTTGAACACCTTTCTACTAAATTGGTATCAACTAAAAGAAGCTGCCGGCATGTCTATAGCATCTTAACAGTTTACAAATGCTTTCAGCTTCACTTCACCAACGCTGTGAAGGAACTCCGCTCCCCAAATTTAAGCGGTGTGCCCAAGCACAATCAAAATTTGAAATATTCTGTCAGAGAATAGAGAACTTAGCCTTTTTTTTTTTTTCTTTTTTGAAAGAGAGAGCAAGTTGGGGGCGGGGAGGAGAGGGAAAGAGAGAATTTTTAACAGACTCCACCCCCAGCAGAGTGATGCGGGGCTGGATCTCACAACCCTGAGATCCTGACCTGAGCCAAAATCGAGTCAACTGCTTAACCAACTGAGCCACCCAGGCGCCCCAAACCTAACATTCCTTTTACAGAGATGCAGGATGTAGAGAATTTGGGTTTGTTTTCCTTTCAGAACACTTTGTACTGAGGATGAGGAACAATTTTCACTCGAACTGCCTCAAAAAATGATTTTTTTGTTTCATTATACTGTTTCTAAATTAAGCAAGGCATCATATTTTTCAAAGACAAACATTATTTTACGATGCCAATAATGCAAAGTAAGGATTGTTTTTATCATTTCAATTGGCTTGTTTACTAGTCCTCCAATGAACTGTCTTACCCATTCCTTCAGGTGCAAAATGGCTCAAGTTTTAATGCGGCAGGGGCGGAGGGGGGAAGGCTATCAGGAGATCGGCAGAGTAAGGGACAATTGTGCAAGCAACTAATTGTGAAGTTTGGCTCTTTCCCCACATTTGCTCGCTCTTCATTTGTTCAAGAATAAAATCAAGGGCATGCTGCTGGGCATATTTTCACACCATATGCAGATGCTTGTAGAACATGAAGAATGACTTTCCAGGACTGAATGAAGCCAGATTGGAGTAGGAACCCTTCTCCATGGCAACATATGTGTGACATGCCGCTTGTATTACTCTCTGAACACAGCCACCAGCGAGCTCTGTCCGTCATTTCCGTGTGATCCAACTCCATCTGACAGGTGTCCAGCACCTGCTGTCAGTCTGACTCATCACCACGAATCACTAAATCCATAGAGGTCAAGTCTAAGGAAATAAACCAATAAAGGTGTTGAACTTAACGTAGTACTTCAGCTTTTCATCAAGGTATATATAGATACCTCGGGACAGATATCAATGTAATCCTTCCCATCAGTATGAAAACATTATCATTAATTTTTTTAAGGAGGCTCCACACTGGGCTCTACTCTGGGCTCCAGGGAGGGGCCTGAACTTAGGACTCCAAGATCAAGACCTGAGCTGAAATCAAGAGTCAGACACTTAACCGAATGAGCCATCCAGGTGCTCCAATTATCATTCATTTTTAAAGATTCAGCTTTATCTTTATTATTTTAAAACTTGTGACCAATATACTTTTTAATTAACTGAAAATTTTGGGTCCACATGTCTCCTGAATATCCATTAGAGGCCCCACAGAGTAAAAATTCAGAATTATGACATAGAGGTTTATACTGTATGTTCCCAAGAAACACTCATTTTCCCATGAGATGGACCAACTAAAATCATACAATGACAATTCATATTTTATCAATCCACAGAATTAAAGTAAATTTATGAATAGAATTTTCTCAAGGCTGTATTTTTCTTTCATACATTTTCTTTCACTTTGGACACATGCTAATCTTGTCTATAAATAAGCATCACTAGTAAATGATTAAAATTATCAACTAATAACAAAATATTTATTAATCTCTTAATTACATAACTTTTCTGATAGGCATCAAACATTTTTCTGCTGGTAAAGTGATTCCTAGTTGATAGGACAGAAGTAAATATCAAAATACCGCAGCGTATTATATAAAAGTGCCATGATTTCTAGTTTCATTCAAAAAAAGAATTTCAGGGGCGCCTGGCTGGCTCAGTGGGTTAAAGCCTCTGCCTTTGGCTCGGGTCGTGATCCCAGGGTGCTGGGATCGAGCCCTGCGTGGGGCTCTCTGCTTGGCAGGGAGCCTGCTTCCTCCTCTCTCTCTCTCTGCCTGCTTCTCTGCCTACTTGTGGTCTCTGTCTGTCAAATAAATAAATAAAATCTTAAAAAAAAAATTTCAGCATATACATTAGATAAAAATCTTGGACTTCACCAGGCCAAAAAGAAAATACTATGAATAAAGTAATAAAAGAAAAGACAAATTGGAAACTATGTTACAAACATTAGAGGCTTTTCCAACACAGTAAGGAAAAGACACAGCCAATAGAAGTCGGAGGAAGGACACGAATGGGTGTGTACCTCTGAGGAAGAGCTACAAATACAGTCTGTCATTCCTGGCACAGGAAAGAGCGCACAATACAGAGTAATGAACTAGGGCTCATTAGACTCTTCACGGCTTGTGATAAGTATCTGCTGAGCTCAATCAATACGTTTTTCACTCCGAATCCATGCCCACCAAGAAGCTTCTGATTAATAATTTGTTTTGTCAGGTGTTTGGAACCAGAATAGGATGAGCTAAATCATCAATCACGAATGCATAAATTAGCTCTGGGACCGATACATTAGTCTTATAGTAAAAGAAACTAACCAGCGAGGGAGATGTGTAAGTGTACATACTTGCAACTAGCAGATAAATAATTCCTGGGGATCTCATGCCCAGTGCAATGATTACAGACAATACCGTATTACAAACTTCGAAGTCGCTAAGAGATAAGATCTTAATTGTTCCCACCACACAGAAGAGACAGCAATTATGTGACATGATAGAGGTGTCAGCTAAGGCTATGGTGATGATCATATTGTAATATGGAAATGTATACCTTAAACTTACACAATGTTCTATGTCAATTACATCTCAATTTAAAAAAAGAAACTAACACTTTATAACAGATTTATAGCTAACAAAATACCTTCACATTTGTTGCGGATTGTGTTTGCATCAAAATCACTTCTCTGGGCCTAATCAACTCTGGAGCCTGATAGAAATCAATTTTACAGGGATGCCTGTGTGGCTCAGTTGGTAAATCGTTATGATCCCAGGGTCCTGGGATGGAGTCCAGAGTTAGGCTCTCTGCTCAGCAGGGAGCCTGCTCCCCCCCTCCCCACCGCACCACTTGTGATCTCTGCCTGTCAAATAAATAAATAAAATCTTAAAAAAAAAAAAAAGGTAATTAGAACAGAAGCTAACCACCTCATCAGTAGTTAATAATCAACTCTTAAAGCAGTTCTCAAAGGGAGGTCCCCAAAACCCTGTGATCCCTTGGGAACTTGACAGCTTCCCAAGATTTAATGACTTTTCTAAATAAACAAAGACATTAACAGACACAACTTTCTTTTTTTTTTTTCTTAAAGGTTTTATTTATTTATTTGACAGACAGAGATCACAAGTAGGCAGAGAGGCAGGCAGAGAGAGAGGAACAGAAGCAGTGCTCCCTGCTGAGCAGAGAGCCTGATGCGGGGCTCCATCCCAGGACTCTGGGATCACGACCTGAGTCGAAGGCAGAGGCTTTAACCCACTGAGCCACCCAGGCATCCCAAAAGACACAACTTTCTAATGAGATCAGTGGTGATATTACAAAGGTGATGTTTAAATTTGTTGTATAGTGAAGTGTGTTAACATCTGGATCATTTTCATCAGTGAATCAATATTTTCCAAATGATCAATGCACAATGTTACAAAATCGTGGCATGGGTAAAAGATCCATTCAAAGTATAAGGCAGGTGAAGGGATTTTAATGTAACAGAGTACAAAAAGTTCATTGGTATGGTTTCAGATTCCCCATTGCAACTAGACTTTAAGAAACCACTATATATCAAGTTTCGATATAGCAAAGAGTATGGGCAACTCTCTTTTTTAAAAAAAGATTTTATTTTATTTATTTGACAGACAGAGATCACAAGTAGGCAGAGAGGCAGGCAGAGAGGGAGGTGGGGGGAAGCAGGCTCCCTGCTGAGCGGAGCCCAATGCAGGGCTCGATCCCAGGCCCCCGAGATCATGACCTGAGCCGAAGGCAAAGGCTTAACCCATTGAGCCACCCAGGTGCCCCAATTGGCAACTCTCTTAAAAGACTTGTAAAATAGCCCCACTTCCACCCCACCCACCATCTTTTTATTTTATTTTTTTTAAGATGTATTTATCCATTTAAGAGAGAGAGAGAAAGCAGGGGGAGGGGCATAGGGAGAGGGAGAGAGTCCCCAAGCAGACTCTGGGATGAGCCCGACACGGGGCTCAATCCCAGGGCCCCAAGATCACAACCTGAACCGAAACCAAAAGTTGGTTATTCAACCGAGCCAACCAGG